GCTGATAATAAAACATGTTGACTGATATAAGTAGTGATCTCTTCCAACTTGACATCACCATGCATAATGTGGTCACTATAGTAAAATGCAGAAGCCATCACCTGGGGAAAAAGCCCAAGTGATAAGCTCAAAGCCAAAAGGCTGACTTTATCGTACAGTTTTAGTCAATCGTTGAATTCTGTTCTATATTTTAGTTCATGTCCTCTCCATTTTAATTAAGAATGAATATTAGCTAAAACAAACAAAAACAACAGCTCACACATAGAAGCTTTCTGTAGGATCACCAGGGTCTGAAGAAGCTCCCATCTTCCTTACTTTCTCATTTCTCCTCCCAATATGTGCAAGTCACTATTATTTGCAAATCACAATGTTTCGCATTTTAAGTTTCCTTCCAGTTTTTTTTTCTGGGTTTTGGTTTTTCCAGACAGGGTTTCTCTGTGTATTTTTGTAGACCAGGCTGACCTGGAAATCACAGAGATCTGCCTGCCTCTGCCTCCCAAGTCCTAGGATTAATGGTGTGCACCACCACTGCCCAGCTCCTTCATTTTTAAAATCATGCCTTAGAGAAGTATTGAAAAATAGGATTAGGTTCCCAATGGACAATATTTCCCTACACCAAATCTTAGCAAGCATTATTTTTACCAAAGATTATGTTCTTTCCTTTAAATCCTAAGCCTTTGTCATTTCTCACACTCCATAAGTAACTGAAAAGTTTAAATTATCTGATTTATGTCTACAATTTTCCATATTCTACACATTCATTGCTGTTTCAGGAGAGAGCTATATAGCAACTCTGCTAGAGGCTTCAAAAAAAAAACAGGTTGGCTTGATTGACAAATCAAAACAGGATTTTCAGTTATGAGGAGTAAGTAAAACTCTTCCTGTTAAAGGAATGTCAACTTGGCTCTAAGAAGCAAACTTTTGGGCAATTTCTGTGCATAGGAGGAGCTACTGGATGACTACCCCATTGTTTAGTAATTGATCCTGACAGCAGTGAAAAATCAGAGGTAGAGGGTGTAAAGAGATGAGCAAGCAATACCAAAAGCCCAGGAAACAGGGAAATCAAAGAAGACATAGCATCAGCAGTGTTGTTTTCTGCCTAGTGACTGAATCATTCTCATTGAACTGAAGAAAGGAGGAGGAAGATGAAAATCAACTGCATGCATAATAACATTAAAACAGGAGAAAAATTCAAACCAAATTTTGCCCAGATACTTTCCATGAACTTCAGTGGTTTTCACTATCTACAGGAGCATATACTACATTCATAGAGAAAATAGGTAAACACAAATTCACACTCGGTTGTGTTTGCAGCTTCTGACATGGCACCTTACACTTGTATGAAGCTACACAGTTCACTCATTCCTTCACATAACACAAGGAGAACTTAGTAAGCACCTACCCTGCCCAGATGTCAATGGTGCAGCAGTGATGAAAGTGGTGCCTCTCTGGTATCACTAAAATGGTTACAAATTCTCCCTGCAGTGAGGAAAATTGTAGCTCATCAAACTCAGTCATCAAGTGTTCACACCCTGCAGCCAGAAGCCTGCACTGGGAAGTGCACTCTGCACCTTCTTGACTGATTAACTTTGGGCAAGCTGCTTATTAGCCTGTTTGAACCTCATTTTATTTCTTAGTAAAATGGTAATATGAGGTAATAGATGCACTGATTTGTGTGAGAGAGTGTTGGTTCTTATTAGTCTCTGCGGTAATAAGCACAGTGTAAGTGTGAGGTATTGTTTGATAAGAGAAATAGATCCACACTTAAACTGTTAACAAGCAGCTGTTACGTTAAAAGATGTAGATAATGAAACCCAAAGGTACTATAGGAATAGATTATTGATGCATTATTTTGCTTAGTGTGGATTATAAAAAGCAACTCAGGGTTTAAGTTAATGACTTTTAATGTGTTTCTCTGCCCCCACTTACTCTTCTGTAAAGAAGGGACAAAAGATGGCCCTCTCTGCAACAGTTCTATGAGGACTGACAGAAATGGCTCATGTCAAGCTTCCCCAGTCCTCAATGCATAGGCAGTTATTGAATGGTGGCTGTTGTCACTGTAACCTGATCATATAGTTCGAGCAGCAGGGTTATCGCAGGAGAACATGTTAGTATAGTTTAGCATGACTATCGTGAAAATTTCTTCAAACAGTTAAATGTGTGTTGACTCCATAACTCCAGGACCCCATGCAAATGGACTTCCATAAATCTATTCTGCATTGGCATTCTGTTACATTTACAAATCTCTCTTTTGCTAAATTTTGGAAATTTTTCTGTATTTTTAACTGAGGTTGAACCTCTGTGATATATTTTCTTAACAAGATTGTAATTGGATTCTTATGAGGATTAAATCACTTATCCTTAATTTTATGTTTTCTAAAATGATTACTTTTTTAAAAAGTATGGCAACAATTCCCATTTAAGGAATTACTTTTCTCAGTGCTTTAGTGCTATCTAGGTCAATTGATTGCTCTCAGTTGCCATTTGTAAATTCCCTTCTTTAACAAATTCCATTTTCAATGAAATTTTGTTTTCTCATGACAATATTTGTTCTTCTCAACTGGTTTAAATTACATTCATTTATTTTATCAAGTCCTTTAAATGTATTAGTATATAATAACTTAATAGCCATTCCTAATTTTGATCTAAACTAAGTCAGTCATTCTTTACCTTTTTGATACTTAACCTAGATTTCATCGTTTCTGTCTTAGCCTTTCTATTGATATTTAAGATGTCGTGGTGCTACTAATCACCTCAAATTTAAGCTCTTAATGTCAATGAGTTCATATATTTGTTTTCTTTTTTACTGTTATTTTTTGTTTCTCTTTATCTTTGTTCTATTATTCTTTGTTGGGCTTCTTGGATTGATCAAGTAATCAATTCCCTGGAAACTGTCAAATCTGTAACTTTCTTCTAAGTACTGTTTTCTTTTCCATATACTATAAATTTGAGAACATAGTAATAAAGCAATGTTACTTTATTATAAATATTGAGATTTCCTTTATAATTCCTTCCCAAGTCTCTTGGTAGTCTATATTAGAACTAATATGTCTTAGGTAAATTATTTATGTGCTTTTTAGTCAATTTCTTTGATTACTGACTTTGATACTGAATCTATCATTGAGAGAAAATTGTAATTTTTTTCAGTAATTCTGTACAGGGAATGCTCTAGAATTCAATGTCCACAATTTTTATATCAATCATAACATCATATTCTTTAAATGGTTGTGAAGAAAATGTGTATGTGTGTGTGATTTTTTTCAAATGTTCACCTAATTTAGGTAAGACTATTCTTTATATAATACCCCATATTTGATCAAGATTTTAAGTGATGTCACTTTAGATAAATCAATATGAATTTCAGTGAACTGGTAAAAATTCTATTAAGAAATAATCTTGTAAATATATGTGACATTCATATGTGCATATTCCTACAGAGACACAACTGTAAAAGAAAAACTTTAAGGACACACAATGAATCAATGTTTTGCTCCATGAAATCTATCTTTATTTTAAGAACTTATTTATAATATTGTTTAATTCCAAAGGATAAACTTGGAGCTCTAATATCTGACAAATGAGAGTTGTTCTAACAACAACAGTGGGCTTGATTATTAAATACTGTAACTACTGAGTTCACTACAAAGATATTGAAACAAGATTGTCAGATAAATATGAAATTTATAAATAAAAGGGAAAAATAGATTTATTAATGTGCTTATTTACAAAAAGAAGATATCAAGGGTTACATTTTATCACATGATTATCTTGATGTGCTCATATATAAAGAGTAAAAACAAATATTAACTTTTCAAAAACTTTAGTATTCTCTTAGCTTCATTCTGATGGCAAAAGTATGTTACTTTCTTTTTTACTTTTTATGTGTCCTCTGAGAATTTCGTGCGGAATATTTTACCATATTCTTTTCCATGTTCCAACCCCTTCTATATTCCCCTCCCTACCCACCCAACTTCATGTTATTGCTCTTCCTTAAAAAGGAAGTTTGTGAAGCATAGTTGTGAACAAGCGAATGTGTCAACTAGGAAGTTTTTACAAATGGTATGGAGTAACACTTACTAATAAGCTCAGTCATGGCATTAATAATGGTGGTCTGTTTCCTCAGATTTTTTACAAACAAAACCAGGATAAGTACAGAGATCGCTGAAGCAGTGGTTAACCTAACTTCAAATATGTGCTGAGAGTGAATTCTGATTTATTCATCCAGGCCAGAGTTTCTGGGAAGCTTCCATTTAAAAGCACTTTTGTGACTAAATGAAACCTGTTTCTCGAAGTGGTTGTTAACACTGAAAGAAGTTGCAGTTGATTTCATAATTACATGAGTCTACTATTTCTTTTTAGTTGTATTTATAATTTCCTCTTCTGCTCCTATCTTTACCTTTCCTTGTCTTTCTCTTATCCACAGAAAAAATTATGACATCAACATCCAAAGGCATTCTTCGTCCATTCCTAATCGTCTGTGTTATCCTGGCCTGCTTCATGGCATGTCTGCTTATTTACATCAAGCCCACCAACAGCTGGGTGTTCAGTCCAATGGAGTCTGCCAGTTCTGTGCTGAAAATGAAAAATTTCTTCTCCACAAAAACTGATTATTTTAATGAAACCACTATTCTTGTTTGGGTGTGGCCATTTGGGCAGACCTTTGACCTTACATCCTGCCAAGCGATGTTCAACATCCAAGGGTGCCATCTCACTACAGACCGCTCACTGTACAACAAATCCCATGCGGTCCTGATACACCACAGAGACATCAGCTGGGATCTGACTAATTTACCTCAGCAGGCTAGGCCGCCCTTTCAGAAATGGATTTGGATGAACCTAGAGTCTCCCACTCATACCCCCCAAAAGAGTGGCATTGAGCATTTGTTCAACCTGACTCTAACATATCGCCGTGATTCAGATATCCAAGTGCCTTATGGCTTCTTGCCATTTAGCACAAATCCCTTTGTGTTTGAAGTGCCAAGCAAAGAGAAGCTGGTGTGCTGGGTTGTGAGTAACTGGAATCCGGAGCATGCCAGGGTCAAGTATTATAATGAGCTCAGCAAGAGTATTGAAATCCATACCTATGGGCAAGCCTTTGGAGAATACGTGAATGAAAAAAATCTAATTCCCACCATATCTACTTGTAAATTTTATCTTTCTTTTGAAAACTCAATTCACAAAGATTACATCACCGAAAAGCTCTACAATGCATTTTTGGCTGGCTCAGTACCTGTTGTTCTGGGACCATCCAGGGAAAACTATGAGAATTATATTCCAGCGGATTCATTCATTCATGTGGAAGATTATAACTCTCCCAGTGAGTTGGCAAAATATCTTAAGGAAGTTGACAAAAACAATAAGTTGTACCTTAGTTATTTCAACTGGAGGAAGGATTTCACTGTAAACCTCCCACGATTTTGGGAATCACATGCATGCCTGGCTTGTGATCACGTAAAAAGGCACCAAGAGTATAAGTCTGTGGGTAATTTAGAGAAATGGTTTTGGAATTAATGTTTCCCTCATTTTCAAATTTAAGGAAATGTATTAACATGACATCATATAAGTTGTAAGGATAAGAAGAGAAACACCTTGCTTTCAAATCACAGTTTATTTTAATTGCCCTCCCTTGAGTAACATGTATATTTTGATGGAAAATTTTTAAGAGCTCAGAATTAGCAATCACTTCATTTGGATTAAATTATCCTGTATATACGTGATAATGAGCACTGAAAATAATTTATTCTCCACTCTCATTTGTAAACATTCTTTTTTCACATCTTATAGTTGTCTGTAAAGTAAGTTTATGATTCAATTGTTTCTACATCAATCAGATCTTTAGTCTGTTTGGGAAATGGAAATGGGTGTCCTAAAATATGAAAGCTTTTTGCAAAGTATTATAATGTTTAGATTCTAGTTTGCATAATGGTAACAAAGAAGTATTAGAGTATCACTTAATTCTTAACCTCTTTGAGTTCAGAGTTGACACTGTGTGTAATTGATGTACTTTTTAACTGTTTACCACATTTGTGAAGACAGACTTATTCATGTAGTAAATAAGAAAGATATGAAGCAGAAATGTTATTAGACATCACATTAATTTTCATTAAGTCATTTTGCAAATGAAGACTCTCAATGTTTTAAGTTAAAGTATCCAAGAATTTTGAGACATACAATTTTATATGATATTCTTAATGCCTAAAATAACACCTAAGAGAAGCTTTGATTATCCCATTCAAATCTTGAACATAGTCATTGTTGTAAAAATAAACGATTTCCTCATATAACAAGAAAAGTGATATCTACAAGTATAAATGAAATATATAAATTGTACCATTTACATAATTTTAATTACATCATCCATTTGAAGTATTTTTCCAAAACATCCATATTTAAAAGCTTTATTTTTCCATATTTGATAATGAATAGATATAAAACTTGAAATGTCTATTCTTTCATTAAAATAAAACTAAACAGAATTATTACCAGTGTATCTAATATATCTTTAAATATAATAAAAAGGTTTCCACTTCAAGGAACAAACAGTATTGACACAGAGTAGGATTTCAATATGTATTTATTACATAAATTAATTAACAGCATTGAAAAGCAATGGGTAATTTTGTTTCAAAAAAGGAACAGTTCTAGCCTATGATTATTAATTGAAAATTATCTTTTTATTCCATTTTAAAAATTACTTATACATAGCATATGTTGCTATAATATTCAGGGCTTTACATAACCAATTTAAACTTATTATTGCACTGAATTTGGGGGCATGTTATTCATGAGCTTTCACCGGCCTACAGAAATTCTCTTCTGTGAGTTTAGAGGATATAGATGGGCATATACAGATACAGAGGATTAGGAAAAAATACTGAAGACTCTTAGAGAAAATTATTCTCCAAAAGATTCCTAATGCTTGTGTTCTACTCTTTTCCAAATCTACAGAAAATGTAATGTTCTGATTATATCCAATTGGATCTGAGATGGTTCATTCTAATTTTCCTGTTACTGATTACAATCAACAGAACATATACTCACTCTAGATTATAGGGAAGATAGAGATCAGTTCAGTAAGCAGGAACTCTGTGCCCTGTGAGAAAATAAGCTTCCTTGGCATGGGGAGGATTTGAGTAAAAAAAGACTTCAGAATAAAACAGAGGCTTTGATCCCACATTCATTTTTCTTTTAGACATAATTGCACAGATAATGTAGTCAGCCCCAAACTAACACAGAAATAAAAATGAAAAGATGTTGTCACTGCTTTAAAGGAGCTTGTGATACAGAGCTTCCTATAAGTTCCATCTTATATGACTCTCAATGGATTTTTTAATGAATCATTGTTAATTTAATGGAAAAAACCTACCATCAAATTTATCCAGTTGCTTACCTACTCAACCTGTGTTGGAACTTCCAGATCTTTCTCTTCATTTGGCCCAACACAGATTTTATTTCATATATTTATATGAAATATATATATACATATATATATGTAGTGCACATATATAGATAAGTATCTTAAAAGTTCTGTCATATATTTATTTGTTTAAAAGTCAATTTCATAATTTACTTTTATTCATTATGTTTTTGATCCACAAAATGTAGATACCTAAAGATGCAATGCTAAGCTTAGAATGTATTTTGTCTAGAGACTGGAAAGCATTCAACATTGTTTCCATCCACCCTGGCTAACTGGATGCTAAGGCAGTTGTCTCTTCTGTTGGCAAAGAGTTTGAGCTCATTCTCAGACTGAAACAACAATGCCAGTAATTAATTGCCAGTAATATAAGCTAAGCCAAGGCAACAATTATTCTGCTAGAGCTTCTGTGCATTGAGAGCCTAATACCAAGACAAAAACGAGGGTCTGAAATTCAACTGAACAAGCCAGCTTTTTAACTAGAAGGAATCACAGCAATATTTATAAGTTAGACTCTTCTTCCAATCTGTGAGATAATTAGATATAAAGCCATTATTTATCCTTGACACATGCTGAAAGACAGTCATGTGAAAACCACACATAGCGATAGTAGAGATTAGAATTTAAGGGTCCTATTGATATTAATCTCATGTTTGTCTCCAGCTTCTCTACATCTTATTAAACAAATATTCCCGTAATGTGAATGTTACATTAGCATGTTCTGGGACTTCAACTTTTAAATATATAGTAAATAAAAATTTAAATGTTGGCACTCTTTCTGATTTAGCAGAAAGAAGAGCTTTGCTATGTGTGAGACATAACCACTGAAAAGTTATGCCAGTGACCACTCTTTTAATAAGTACTATGACTCATAGTTTCTTTAAGGATAACTCATGTGAAAGATAGATTGACTCAACCAATTTGGCTTGGTGTTGATTATAGTAAAGACAGATAATATGCCTGAGAATGAACAATGGCTCTAAAAAGGTCATGGATAAGTTTTCCTTCAAAGTGCAGAAAGTCATTATCACCAGCGCTCTGAATATTAATTGTTAATTATTGCAGACCTTATTATTAAGAATATGTCAACAATTATTTCAAGCCTTACTAATTAGAACATGTACTTAATTATCCATATCTATACATATGCATATTTTTAAAAGGAAGGCCATGACAGCCATATCTTTTAGGACAGTCACAACTTTTTATGAAGTAGAAACTATAAAAAAAATCTTAGTGGGAGAATAGCAACAGCATACAAGTTTTATATTTACTGTGAAAATATATTTACTGGCTCTAGAATTTGTGGAGCCTGGACAAAAACCGTTGGGTGTAAAATGACAGATTATTTAAGGAATTATTTTCTGAGCCTTTAAATTCTTTCTTCTAATTAAAGATTAAATAATGGAGGAGCAAAATATAATATAAAAGGATATAAATAACTGAGATTTTTTTAAACTTGTCTAGGTTCAAACTAGATCATATGGTGGCTACTCAACCAGAAAGTGTTTGGTGTGAATTAATCTTTCATAAAGTTAAGCTCCATGTGTTTTTACTTTGTGCTTGATGACATCTGTTGGCTTCCCTGAAACTTAACCTCAAGGGAAGGGCATCATAAAATTTGGAGGCAAGCTACTGAATACAAAAACTTTAAGAGATAAAGGATAAGTTGTCCCTGGTGAAGGAGGGTTACTAATTAATGCCTAGTAAATGGTTACATCAATGAAATTAGTAGACATGAAAATACTTTTAATGTAAACAAAATATCATCTTCTTCTGGACAAATGGAAATAATGTTTATATTAGCATTACTCTTAATATTGCTCCCTGCATAGACAGGGCAGACAGTATAAGTTCTTCTTACCATGCTTTAAGAATACAGAAAAGGAGCTGGAGAAATGGCTCAGTGATGAAGAGCATTGGCTATTCTTTCAGAGGCGCTGAGTTTAATTCCCAGCACCCGTATGATGGCTCACAATCATCTGTAATAGGATCTGATGTCCTACTATGGCATGCAATTATACATGCAGAGTACTAATATATAAAAAATAAATACATATAATTTTTAAAAGAGCCCAGAACTAAAATGTTAAGAAAGCCTAAACTAGATATTGACGATTCATTGGCTTTTCTAATAGAAATGAAAATATTATGTAAAGAAGATACAAAATGAAGCACTGTAATAAGTAATATGTATTACCAAACTGTGAGAAGAGAAAACAGTTTTACCTTTCATCCCTTGTTAATTGTATTTGTTGTATTGTGAAGCTACTACAAACATCATTTACTCATGTGATTTTCCATTGTGGACATCTCTGCTCTGGAGATTTTATGGAACTTTGAAAATGGGTAAGCTCCACTACTATCCAAAGTTTGGCCCCTCTTAGTAATTCATATTCAATCCATCCATATTCATAAGCAGTTAATACAGTCTAAATGGGACACACTGTTAAACTAGAAATATAAGTAACTCTACCCTAGGCTATCACTGCAACAAATTGTAGCCTAGAGAAAGTCACTTAACCTCTCTGAACAACTACATCCGTAAGAATTCCTTTAACACCACAGCTCTTTAATATAAGGCCTAAATTGATATGTCCATAAATTTGAATTTCAAACTTCCTTGCCCATATAAAAATATTTTTGGAAGTTAATACTGCAAATAGAATTGCTTCTCATTTCTCTACAACAACATATAAATATTTAAGGCACTAAACTGGTTGCTTTAATGATGGAAAGAGCATAATCTTGGTTATTTATTAAAACTTACAATGTAGCAAGTGCACAATTAGCTAATCTTTCTCCTTTATTCTTTGTCTTAGGTCTTTTATAATACAGAGTTCTCTGAGAACTTGATTGCCTGTAGAAAGTCAACCATATATTGTACCCTATTCTAAAGCATTTCAGATATATCTGCAATATTGAAATTCGTATAACAATAAAACTGTTTATTGAAGCAAAACTTAGGAAGTCAGAGGAAGCAAATCAGGCAGTTCTTAATCAAAAGGAATATACAGTTTGAGTGAATAAGCTACTGAGTTTATATTTAGAAATTTTATTCTTTTAACCCATGACTAATTAATGTCCATTCATTTAGCATCCTTCAAATATACTCTAATTTAAAAGAAAATTCCCTATCACTAATTTTTTAAAGCATTACCCAAAGCCAAGTGATCTAGAGTTTGCAATAGATATTTACTAATAATACTAACAACTGGTTCTTGTTCCATGAAATTGGAACTTCTTCCACTATGAATGAAAAAGAAAAAAAAGGAAGAAGCCATGCTATTAGTACAAAGTTATTCTGTGCCTGACAGGGCTTCTCATACTCACTTCTGCCTTGGGGACTCCATAGATCAATGGTATAAGAATTATTTACATCATTTTAAATATTGTTATAATATATACCATTGATGCCCTAGGTATATATTTTTATTAACTATGTAGACAATGTTAACAGGTTGCTACTTTTGGTCTGTGTCCTGCTTATTAAATAGAAATCATTCTATATTCAAACAACACAGACATGAGATACTGCCTTATTTTGGCTCACTTGAATTCTTCTTAAATATATTGACAATTATTACCGTATTTCACAACTCAAGAGGTTCCTCATGCCTAATTATTTTTGAACAGCTATGATGTTCTTTAGCTGTTCCTATTATTTAGGACAAACTATTTACCATTTCCATCTGTTTGTATAGGGAATTTTTCTTTCATTCTCTCCCTTAGTAATTAAATGCACTTTTAAAAAAATTTTCAGTACAAAAAACTGGTAGAAAGATTTTAGCATATTTTGCAGCCATCAAAGCATTGCACATGTTTGACCAATTGCTTTTTTGGGCCTCAGTAGTCTGTGTGATAGTTAGGATATGGCAACAAGTTATAGCACTATAGATTTCCACACTCATAAATTCACAATTAAATGTGATCTATGCTATTCACTAGCTGTGCTTGAGCTCTTCATCTCTGATAGTATCATATTTTGTATATGTATAATAGGAGTAGTTTTTT